CCACCCCCACCCCCACTATATAAAATTGGCGCCAGCCGAAGTGCGGTTGCGGTATGTTTATGTTCGTTGTTTGTGAGTGGACGAATGGGTGAATAAGAGAAAAGAGTACTTTTGACTTGATGCTGACGTGCTGACGCTAAGGATGTGACAGTACAACTTGTTTTCTTTTTAGCCATACCTTTTAAAGAATCTTCTTTATTCAGTTCTCGCAGCGCTCAGTAAAAGAAACTTCAAAACAATGCAAGGATCTAGAAAATCTCATATTGGCTCCCTGGGTCTGAAACCTGTGAGGTTAGATACTTTGAGCTGTCTAACCGGTAAGTACTCATTACACTTTGTGTAAAATCATTGCATTCATTGTGATCTCGTCACGGACAACACAATAGTTATCTTTCTTGTTTGATTTTAGTGCGCTTTTCTTGTATGACTAAATCCCCTTTGAAATTTCATTGTATTATTGTTATTTTTTGTGAATTGTGTCTGTGTTTAGGTACAAGACATTCACCTAATGCAGTTCATCTAGGAGCAACACGTACGCCACACATGGGAAGTAAGTTGTGGGGGAAATATCCCTATTTCCTAATGTCTAGTTTTTTGATTTTTGTTGTCTTCAGGTTAGAATATATTCATCTAATTGAATGTGTTTTGCAGGTTCCAAGCGTGTTAAACCCATCAGAGAGGGTGATGTCAAGGAGCTGAGTGTTCTATACTCATCAATAAAGAAACAAGGTCACTCCAGCAACCTAAGGGCAAAGACTCCTAATTCACGTCGATGTTTGTATGATGATCTCAACAACCAGGTGAATTATTTTTATCTAATTCAATAGTGCTTGTTTTAACTTAGAGTTAAGTTCAACACATGGTGTTAGTCAACATTATCAATGTTTGGGTCTCTTGTCATTTTTTAGACTCCTGGTATTAAGAAGATTTCTAGTGCCCAGCGCAAACCAGGGAGAAGTGGGCAAGGAGCATCAAAGAAAGCAGAATCATCTAAAATACCTAGAGTATCAATTACTAGACCTAAGTCCACAGTTAGCAAAAGACCCTCAACATTGAACCCTCCAGTACCATCAAATGTCAGTAAAGGCCTTCCAGAGAAAAGAAATAGACCGGTCTCATCAAGACCACCAGTCTCATTACTACCTCAACCAGGCACATCTACGCGTGGAAACATAGCACAACAAGACCTCCTTTGCCAAATAAAATGTTTAGTAGAAGAGCAGAGGAAAATGTTTGAAGAAACCCAATCCAATATGGAAATGCAGAAGAAAATGCTTGAAGAAGCAAATTTTGTCATAGAACAGCAGAAGAATATGCTTGAAGAAGCCAAAGCTGCCTTTTCTTCTCTACTTTGTGATCAGAGGAGTACTTTAAATGATATGCAATCAATTTTAAGCAAGCAGAAAAAATTGCTAGCTGAAGACACTGAGCATGAGTTTACCAAATTAGAGAAACAATTTAATTCAAGACTTAGTGTAGCTGGGACACAGACTGCACCTTTCCAAGCTACAAGAAGTTCGCAAATCAAACCAGTCGACAAAGAGAATTCCTCACCAAAATCAGCAGCTGCTTACAGAGATATGCGTAAATCATTTGGCTGCCTTCACACCCCTATTACTAAAAAGTCTCAGGTTTCTAAACCCAAAACTCCCAGATCTTTACTGTTATCAGCTAAAGTGAAAGCTCAGCTAGAAGAACTTCTTGATGAATAGCTACCTGTTGACTGTCCCTCAAATAGGGTTTCCGCAACCTGAATAAGTATGGTCAAGACACCCTGGACCTCAAACAATCCAAAAATACCAATTATGGCAACTTTCAGGAGGGGGACCTCTTATGCACAATTACCATTTATTACTCTGTATATTAAACATGCTCTAGTCTTTATTACTAATTTTTATAATTTTGAAAATATACTTCTTAAACATAAGTGTAGAAGTGTGATTTGTTTTCCAAAACGTGATTTCGAAACTGCCGCCACTTTTTCAAAGTTATGAGAAAGACGGGGGGTGGGAGGGAGTGTCCCGTGAGTTGTGAGGTTGTGACCAGTGAACATCAAAAGTTTGGGTCATCCTCTGTTATCTGCCGTCCATAACGTTTTGAATTCGATATGAGGAAAGGCTGGTCTCTTTAATTTTCTTGTCTTTTGGTTGGTGGTTTTATTCACAGTTCGTGTAAGGACTTTCTGGTTACATATCCTTTAGTAATGACAACCTAACCTTACATGCACAACAAACATCACAGATCACATCCTCTTGTTCTTGTTCCTCAGAATTCTAGATCGACATGAGCAGTCGTGGAGATACAAATGACATGGCGAACAACACTGCAAATGAGTCTAAAACCGACGAAAGTGGAGAAGATTCAGATGACTCAGAAGAGTCAGAACCTAAGTTAAAATATATCCGAATGAAAAACTCTCTAGATAATATTTTTCTCAAATATGCTGCCAAGTGCATCTCTGTCCATCCTAAATTTGTGTGCTTGGGAAATAACTGGGGTATGGTTCATTTGCTAGATCACTTGGGTAACACAGTGCTTGAAGAACTTCGCTTACATAGTACTGACGTCAACCAAATAAGTATTGATAGCAATGGAGACTTTATCGCTAGCTGCTCTGACGATGGGAGGGTCTTTATTCAAGGCTTATATTCGTCAGACAACAATCAGGAATTGAGAAAAGAAAATTGTAAAGTAAAATCTGTAGCCATTGACCCCAACTATTACAAGCCCGGATCTGGTCGGAGATTTATTACAGGTGATTTATAGTTCCATCAGATTTCTGTCATGTCTATTTTTTAGTTTTTCTTACTTTTATATCCTTTTTGTATGATCTTAAAGGTGATGAACAGTTAGTGTTGTATGAGAAGACCTTTCTTACAAGATTAAAGTCAACTGTATTGTGTAAGGCTCAAGGATTAGTGCACAACATCAAGTGGAATGGCCCATTTGTTGCATGGGCTGACAACTTGGGTGTTTGGGTCTTTGATATAGAAGCCAGACGTTCATTAGGGCTAATCAAATGGCCAAGAAACCCAGAGTAAGTTTGCTCATTCTCAAGTTAAAATTTCAAAGTATCAAAAAATTTACTGTAAATATTTCCATTTAAGAGCTCTTCCGGAAAACTACCGTTGCAACATATGTTGGAAAGACAGTTCCACTTTTTTAGTCGGATGGGTTGATTGTGTGCGTATCTGCCACATCCGGAAGAAGACTCCCCATGAAATTGCCATTGATAGAGACAAACCTGACTTTATTGTTGACCTTGGTAATAGTTGTAACATTGCTTTCTAAAAAATCATTTTTATTCTTACCTTTTCTTTTATTACCAATACAAATATTGCTTTGTGGTTTTGTGTGCTTTTGCAGTGTCGGCATTTGAAACAGATTTCTATATATCAGGCATTGGTCCTTTAGATGAACAACTTGTTATATTGGGTTATGCTAAAGAACCTGATGAGGATGGTAAAGCCCAACGTCCTGTTATGTATGTTGTTCAACCTGAAGCAAACAGCTTTGTTGAACTACGTTATGACTCACTATCTCTTCGAGGATATCAGCACCTCAAATGCAATGAATATCACCTAGGTTTGTATTTATCAGTATTACAGGTACTGATGAAACCTTAGTGCTTTGAAATACAAATCTCTAATATTTTATTTATAACTAACTATCAAAGCAAATGTTTTCTAGAAAGTTTGATAGAAGAGAACAATTTTTTCATTGTGAGTCCCAAGGATGTCGTCGTTGCCAGTCCATATGATACTGATGACAGAGTTCAATGGCTAATGGAACATAGGTATTTGTCTAACTTTGCCTAAATTAAACTTTTTAGCCAACCATTTTTTAACATATTTTTATTAATATTTGTGTCATAGCAAATTTGAAACAGCAATGGAAGTAGTAGCTCAAACAGAAGCTCGGCAAACTAGAAGATACACATTTTTTCAAGTTGGACAGGCTTATCTTAACCATCTCCTGGAACAAAGGGAATTTCAGCAGGCTGGTGAACTTTGTCAAAAAATCCTTGGTACCTAAAGAAATTAAATTAGCTCCTTCAACTTTTGTTGGTGGTGCATACATTTTTGAACAGTTAATTATTTTCTCAGGAACTGAAAAGAGATTGTGGGAAAGTGAAGTATTCAAATTTGCTCGTATTCACCAGTTACGAGCTGTTAGTCCTTACTTACCTCGTGGTGACTATCGGCTTGATTCTACTATCTATGAAATGGTTCTTTATGAATTCCTAAAGCTTGATGCAAAAGTGAGATAATTTTGGGGTAAATTTCTTGTTTAGTGATGGCTCTATTGTGTATAAACTCACAAAAGTCCCCTCTCTTTATAGGGATTCCTTGATGTTCTTAAAGAGTGGTCACCTGATCTCTATAATGTTAAAGCAGTTACAGCTGCATTATGTGAACATTGTGTTCAAAATGAAGCTGATACAATTCTTCTGGAAGCTCTTGCAATACTTTATAGTCACGACAAGCAGTACGACAAAGCACTGGCAGTATATTTAAAGTAAGTATTACCACTTTTTGAATCTTATCAGTCACACCACATCTCTGCTTAATAAAGTATTTTTAATTCTAGGCTTAAAAATACTGATTTGTTTCAACTGATTCGCAAGCACAACCTGTATGGTGTTATTCATGATATGATAGAAGATTTGGTGAAGTTGGACGAAGAGCAAGCCATTGCTTTATTTCTTGAAAAAGGTGATGATACTCCAGACATGAAAAGGTTCCAGAATACATCAGTTCCTGCTGCACCAAAGCTTGATAAGCATTTAAAAAAGTATCTTGTTGATCCTGGTGTTGTTGTTGCCAAATTAGAGAAAAATCCAAAGTATCAATACAAAGTAAGTTGGTTCATCATTAAATATCTCTTTTTGTTTTCCATTTAATGTTAAGTTTGACTTGGTAATCGTTTGAAATATCTTATCGCATCTGTCTAGTATTTAGATGCATTGGACAGGAGAGACGCCAAAGGGGCAGGGCAGAAATACCACGGATTACTCGTTAAATTATATGCAGACTATGCTCGGGACAAGTTACTCCCTCTGCTTCATCGATCGGGGCATTATCCAATTCAAGAGGCTCTTAACATATGCAAAGAACGAAATTATTACAGTGAAACTGTGTACCTTTTAGGTCTGTATTGTTTTGACAGCAACTCAAATATTTTTTATTATTTCTTCTAATCTAATAAGTTTGCTTCACCATTAGGTCGTATTGGCAACTTCAAAGAGGCACTCAACCTAATAATGAAAGAGCTTGGTGATATAGATCAAGCAATCAATTTTTGCAAAGAGCATCATGACATTGAACTTTGGGAAGATCTGATAAGCTATTCACTGTCTAAAGCAGGTATGTTCTTGTAATCCAATGGCAGTCCTCCTTTGATATGATTTACTGTAATCTGTGTCACATTCCACAGATTTCATTACATTCCTTCTTCAGCGTATTGGCACATATGTGGATCCCCGCATTTTGGTTCAGAGAATAGAGTGTGGAATGGAGATTCCAGGTCTGAAAAATTCTCTCGTAAAGCTGATGCGTGACTATAGTTTGCAGGTACTGCTTTCAACTTGATGCAATTGATCTTTACAGCGTTTTCTTGCCATACCAATTGGTAATTGCTCAAATGTATTCTTACCCCCAGGTTTCTGTACAAGAGGGGTGCAGAAAAATTTTGTCTTCTGACAACTTTAACTTGCATGATAGATTAGTAAAGATGCAGCAGCGAGGAATTATGGTTGATGGTAAATAAAAAATGAAATTTTGTTTCTGTTGATTATTACAATACAACTCAAAATAGTTGGTTTCCTTTGCAGATGACCAAGTTTGTGGCAAATGTAACCGCTCCATAATTGTTAAAGGTAAGTAAAATTACATTTCCTTTACAAACATAGTATATAACAATTTATATAAATTATTTTGATTTTAGATGCAAGTCGAGCAAGTAATGTGGTGGTGTTTTTCTGCAAGCATTCGTTTCATGGCGAGTGTGCTGCAGTAAGTAATGACTGTAGTAGAAATGATTGCATATCTTTTCTTGTTTTCACTTTAAACACTTTTATTATTTTGATTTCAGGAATATTGCATCATATGTAATGCTCACAAAACAAAGTCACCTTTTTAACATAATGATATATACTTTTATATTAAATCATTGGTGTGAACTATTGGGAACACTTCGTGGCACTGAAATATGTTTTCAAACTTAATTTTAACTTAGTTCTCATCAAACACTAGCCTACTTCCAAGAATTGGCCTTGTGTTTAGGAAGAAAATTGAAACCTTCTGGCACTGGACCAAGCAGCATTTCACTGAAACAAAATTTTGGTGTAAAATGATATTGTTGCAATAAATATTGAAATTGTTATTATAGTCACCTTATTTCTACCCAATGGGCACAGTTGGAGCTTGCCATCAAAGTTTCCAAATCGTCACGTCCCTTGAAAACTGGAGGTCTTTCATTAATTTTTTGGGGTGGTCTTTCTAAAATTCCAACAGGAATATACCGATGAAGAAATGAAAGCCACTCCAAGAGAAATCGGCGTGTACTCTCCACTCCCTATTAAAAGCAAATGATAGGGTTAACAGTAATTTTACAACATTTTCAAGAGTCATAATAAATTTACTCACTTTTGTATCACTTCCCCAATGCTCAAGACCATAGTTCACATATTTCTTTAAAATATCGAATCTTTCTCGACTAGAAATATCCCACAACTTTTTTTCTTTAATCTCAGTGAAAATCCATGGTTTAATGAGGGCTCCTCGCCCAATCATTACTCCTGATATATTTTCATACTTTTCCTGGCAAACAAAGTTCAATACAGGCGGGTTAAGAAACAAATTAACAAATAGAAAAGACTTTACACTAATGAACTTACTGTGACAATTTTGTAGTCCTCATATGACAAAATATCACCATTTCCAAACAAAGGTACTGGATGAGCAATTTTAGCACACTCATTTATATAATCCCAATCCGCTGATCTAGTGTATCTCTGTTCCCTAGATCGTCCATGAACCTGAAATTAGTGACATGGACACCAAAAAAAAGTCAATAGTTGATTATAATACAAGGAAAAAGAAATCTTGAACACAATAACTTATATTCTCAGAGGAATTGGAATAAAAACTTACCGTAATAAGAGAAGCTCCTAAGTCCCTAAAGTAAGGCATAAAATTGTGTGCAATATTCTTGCCCATTACAATGCCAGTTCTTGTTTTGACAGTTAGAGGAATAGTCATCACTTGGTTCATAGAAGTAACAATGGATTGCAAAACCTTTTCACGGTGCAAAAGCCCACTCCCACCACCCTGAGGTAAATTTTCCATTTTCAGAACAATGAACAATTACTTGGATGAGCAATATTAACAACAAAGACCTTACCTCTCGATATACCAGATCAATGGGACAGCCCATGTTTATATCAATAAAATCAATTTGCATGTTTTCTTGCAAAACTTGAGCACATTTAGTCATGGTGTAGGGGTTATTTCCACAAAGCTGTGAAGGTTGTATTTTTTAGAAAGAAATTAGTGTAAACTAATATTGTAAACAAATTGAGATGGGAAAATAATCACAAATATTTAAATTCAAGTACCTGAACACCAAAAATATCTTCAGATTCATGTTTCTTCACTAATGCCCACTCTTGATTCATACCTTGCAATAATGGCACGGCCATTGCCATTTCACCACATGTGATATCAACTCCAAACTCTTTGCAAATGCGCCTGAAAGGTAGATTACCCACTGTAGTCAAAGGACTCATTGCCAGTTTACCACGCCAGTCAATCTGGAAAAGTGAACAGCAATACAACCTCACGCCAGCATTCAACCTCAGAGTGAATTTACTCACAAGGAAGTTATGAATTTTAAAATTGACAATACTTACCATTTTCTTTTCAGGGATCCTAGTTTTAACTATATCTTCATCAGATACAGGGCCCATTTTAATAGATGATTGAACATCTTCGGATTCTTTCTTAATCTCCTCAAGTTTAGGATGATTTAATGATGTAGAGGCTCCATTTAAATCACTAACTGATTTGGCAGTGTTGGATGAAAAAGTTGTGGTGTCAACCTCAATTTTCGTTTTTGCCTCATCATCAATAGTGCGCTTGATACCTAAAAGATAAAAAACAGAAAATATTATTTCAAATTTAGAACAAATATGATTATTTTAGAAACATACTAAATAATTTTCACAATAATGGAGAGATAAATGTAAAATTAAAAAAATATACCCTTAGATAACTGCACCGTTTTAGTTTTCTCCAAAATATTTTCACTTTTTTTAAAATCATAAGTGCGTTTGCGAAGTGCAACTTGCAGTTCCTTTGATAAGATGTTTTGAGTTGGTAGAGTACCCAAGGAAGAAAATTTTTCCCAAAGGGTCTTGTTTACTTTATTGAAGCCATCATTTGTTATATGGCAACTTCCATAGCTGTAACAAGTCACCATACCTAATTGGATAATCTGCCATGGTGAATAAATTTAAGTAACAACCTCTGTTAACACGTTCCTTGCGGCATGACCATACTAGCTGGTCACGCTCCCAAGTTAAATCAAAGGCACAAAAAATGAGCCGCAAGGAACATGTTGAACTAAAATTTTCATTTGAAAAGCAAAAGTAACCTTTCTCAAGCAAAAGCAATAAAATTAAACTATTGAAAGAGAAATTATACTTGTTGGAGACAATAACATACCGACAAGTTAGACCTCTTGGGCAGCGTCCTCTGACCTCAAAATTATAGCAGGTGGTTCCAATATCTTGAGGTCGAATCGCCATGAATGCTTTTACATCATGCATGTTTGTGCACCGAGCATTACTACATGGCACTGCTTCTTCCCCCTCCAATATGTCCACAAGTGTGTGACAAAGAATAACATCACGATTGACTTTGAAAGGAGGAGGTCGAGCTTTGTTTTGTCCTGAATTCATCAAGTTGATTAGACACAAAAAAAGAAAAGAACGCTTAACAGAAAGACAATAGATAACAAACCTCTGAGCTTTTTCTTTTCTGATTTTGATAAACGTTTCTTTTGTGGCGGTTCCAGAGAGCTCTCACTTTTTGAATCACACTTCTCCCCACTCTCATCTATTAGGTCACACTTTGCCTCATCAACAGCAGGCACATCCCTTGAAGTACTGGAAAATTTCTTCTTGTCATCAGCCGACAAGCAGTTTTCAGCAAGATGAGGGACATGGTCAGACACGATGAACCTACCAAAAAAATGTCAGTAACTCACATACAGATTCCGAAATACATAAATTACAATGGATCACATACAGCGATTTTAGCCCATTAAGGTGAGTTTAGTCTCGTGAGCATAGTCGCTTCAGTGTGAGGTGCCTCGACTGTGGCAGCCCTCTTTACGTAGCTCGCCTCAGATTTCTTAGGACAAGTGATTGTCTGAAAACCTCTAAAGCGAATTGCCTCAGATGAGGCACCTCATCGTGGAGTGACTCGCATCACGATACTAAATCCACCATAATTGAGTATAATTGTTGGGGGGTTATGAGGGAGAAATCTGTCAACACCAAAACACGACATGGGCAGAAATTCTTACTCGGGTTTGATACGGGCAATCCCCTTGTCAGTCTCTCCACCATTTACAACACTAGTGGCAGCCATTACTCTACTTCTTAAAGACTGTCACTTCTCTTTCAAAAAGAAATTGCTTTCGGCCTTGCTTCACCCCACAAAACACGCCATGCGCCGACAACCGGAGAGCACACAGCAGACGACGCGGACGTGACGTGAGTGCCAAAGTCAACTGAAAGACTGAAATCTGACTAAAACTAAACCTTATTCTAAAAGGAGAACTGATTACGTTAAATTGTTATATTATTTATAGATTTATCTAGAGAAAGGGATGCTTTTTTCAAGTATGAAAAATGAACCACGGAATACAACTACAGACTGAAAAACCGACGAACCCACGGTCTGTCCAACAAATTCAAAGAAAGCCGCGCACTTTCTTGTTTCGGTGGTAACAACAAAACAGGACCAGTAAAACATGTTGAAAAAAATTATCTTATTCTAAACTCATTATATATTGAATCGAAGGAGATATTTTTTCATTATTTACTAATTCGTGTGTTTGTTCGTGTGTTTGCGAACAAAGTATTTTGTATGTTTGTGGTTTTGCTGAAACCTTTGTTTTGTTGTTGCTGTTGTGTTCGCTCGCTTCGCAGTGGCGGCAACCAGCCACGCCGCACCGCATTTGATTTGGGAAAGGCTGTAAATGGATGTAAAGGTAAGGACACAGACAAAGAGACTTTTAAAGACTTAATTCTAACGCGTAGGTCAATGATTTTCCCTCCTGTGAAACTTTAAAATATCGTTTCCTTTTGATTTTGGTGTAAGTTGTGCCCTTTTCTAATAATTTTTTTCCGTAAGCTTTGTGCTTTGATTTGAGACGAACATTGGGTTAGGAGCTGCTGCCTCAGCAGCAGCCTACCGACCTACCATCCTCTTGGTTGTTCGTTAGGTCGCACCGCTCGGCAATGTCTAATGAGGAATGTATACGTTAAATGATAAGTGAATCACAAGTCAACTTGTCCGTTCTAATTTTCCTGTTGCAGTGCTTATCATGGCAGTGCTAAAGAAGCTTGCTATTGGAGGTGTCAGAAGTTTTGGTGCTGATGACGCCGATCATCAGTTTATCGACTTTGACAAGCCGTTTACCTTGATTCTGGGTCGTAATGGTTGTGGTAAAACCACAATTATAGAAGCTCTGAAGTATGCATGTACTGGGACTTTTCCTGCGGGTCAAGGTAGCAGTTTCGTCAGAGATCCAAAACTAGACAGGCGTATTGAGGTAATGTGACCAAATCACTGTATGAAAGTTTTAAATGTTTTTATTGTTTCATGTAGAACATAATAAGCAATCACTGTTTTCTTCGTTGGCTTTTAGACTAGGGCTCAGATCAAATTGCAGTTTATATCTTGTCAGGGTAATGAGACTGTGGTTGCCAGATTACTTCAATCTACGCAGAAAGTGAAAAACATTTCAACCACAGCAATGGATTCAACTATTTCAATTACCATGAAAAATGGGAAGGTCTGCGGATATATCCTTCTTGTACTCCCTTGTACCTAAATGACTTTATTGTTCGTAACAAATATAGAAATGAATTGAATTGAACTAATAACTCCTATTCTCACCTAGAAAAATCAACTCAGTGGTCGCTGTGCAGATATTGATGAGCTTATGGGTCAGCACTTGGGTGTGTCCAAACCAATTCTGAACTATGTCATTTTTTGTCATCAAGAGGAATCCTTCTGGTATGGCTGTTGAATCTTATGAGTATCAGTGACGCCCACATGATCCCAGGCAAACCTCTTCTGGTTTCCCTTTTTTCTCCACTATGTCCCCTTATGAGACCTCAGGATCTACCTTAGTACCTCATGCACCTGGGCAACTGGAATAATTTGTGGGCGCCACTGATGAATATATTTTGAGATCTCAATTCTCAATTGTTAATTATTTGAGGAAATGTCTTAAATTTTCAGGCCGTTAGATGAAGGTAAGAAAGTTAAAGAAAGGTTTGATGAAATATTTGACTCATCCAGTTACAATAAGTGTTTAGAGCAAATACGAAAAATAAGGAACGATTCACTTCCTAGTAAGTTCCCTCAGATAACTTTTAATCTGACAGCTTTCTCCTTGGCTTATTGCATTCTCCTGTAGGTAATTTTTTTCTTACAGATATTCGTATTGAGAAGGAAAAACTAAAAAATCTGAAGCAAAATGTAGGGATTCGTAGACAGAAAGTTGGTGAGCTAGAATTCCTGATCAAGGAAAGAGATAAATTGGAACAGGAAATTATTGATTCAGGAGATCAAAGTGCAGAGATGACGCGAGAACTTAACTCCTGGTCTAAGCGTTATGATGCTTACAGGGTTGTTCAGAAAGAAAAAGGTAGACCATCAATTGTTTTTTTTATTTTATCCATCAAAATTCCCAAATAGCTTTTTTTTTGTTTGTTTTTTTAAATTTTTTTTTTTTTTTTTAGAATTAACTTGTAGAAATGTGTGCTGCTTTTATGGTTTTTTTATACCCAGTATTCAGCATATTGATATTTTTACTATTTATTATCCAACTTTCAGATTCACTTAAAACTGAATTGCATGGTTTAAAAAGTAAGAGGGACAGCCATAAAGAATTTATAAGTGTCCCTTTTAGTGGAACTAAAGAGGAGCTTGAACAAGTAATCAAAAATTTTGATGATGAACTCGATTCCAAAAGAAGAAGGCTTGACGACATTGGGCGAGACAAAGGACGTGTGGATCGAACTGAACAGATTACTCTCAAAGAAAAGTCGATTGTTGAAAACAAAATAGGTAAACTTGAAGCAGATAAAGATCGTGAACAGGACACTCAAAAAGAAAGAAATTCTAAGCTCTCAAGTCTGGCATCAGCACTTGGACTGCCAGCATTGAAGACCAAAGCAAGTGAGAATGATGTTAATGACTTCACAAACAGTTTAAAAAAAGAAATAAACACCCTGGCAAGTTCTATTTCCTCATTGAAAGTTGCTAATGAAAGAGAGCAAAATGCACTTCAAGTAGAAATTCAAAAACATCGTGATGCAGGAACCAAGCTTGAGGCTGAAATAAATATGAAGACTGCTTCTATCAAACAAAATTATAAAGAAATAGAAGAAAAGGAGCAGTTGCTGAAGTCTGTTAACACTAAACTGGCTAAAAAGCAAGAGATTGATAAAGATTTGGAAAAATGGCATGAGAGGCACAATAATGCACTATTAGAGGAAGATTCTGAATCATTGTCTAGTGCTATTGCAAAGCTCAAGAGTGATACTGAAAACTTAGAGAGCCAACAAAATAAATTGTCTACAGAAGTTCGTGAGATTGCCAAACACCAAGAATTCAGAAAAGCATTAGAAACTGATGAAAAGAAGTTTACTGACCAACAGAATATAATACGCAAACTCAGATCAAAGAATGAAGATTTCATTTCATGCCACCTCAGTGACTCTGATGACAGTACTTTGAAGCATAAATTTGATTTGCTTGTTCAAAAATTTGTAAGTTTTCTTTTGTAGGTGTTTTATTTTAATTTATCTCTTGAAGTAATTTTTTTGTCCTTATTATTCTTTAGAAAAAACAATATGATAAATTGATAAATGAATGCCATGAAAAAAAGAAAGAAGAGTCATCATTGCAGAAAGATCTTGAGATTAGTCGCAATACACTTAAAAAGAAGAAAGAGGAATTGGACCAACACAAGGATAAGATCTATGAAGAATGTGGTAGAACTGATCTGGAAACTGTTCTGAAAAAAACTAAAGAAGGCATTGAAACTTTGCAGGTAGTTTTTTTTTTTTTTTTTTAATGAATGATTTATTTATAGGTCTTTATTTACTTCAATTCCAGTAATGTTGAAATTTTTTGTCTTATTTAGAATGACAAAGGACTCTACACTGCTTCTGCAGTGGTTACTAGAGGTTACATTCAGGATTTAAAGAAGAGAGACCCATGCTGTCCTTTATGTGATCGGTCCTTTGACAATGAGGAAGAGCCTTTCAGTCTTGTTCAAACTCTAGAGTTGAGGTTGGATGGTATGCCAGAAAAAATTGGTGAAGTAACTGAGAAATTAGTAGAACTTCAAAGCAAACAGGAAAGACTGTTGGAGCTGAAGCCCCTCCAAAACACCATCAGTGAACTCCAAGAAACAGTGATTCCTAATCTAGAGTAAGTAGAAGTTTTGGTTGTTAAAGCCATTTTTATTGAACATTGATTTTTGTTGGTGTTGAGGGATTGTTACTTGTTATCTTGTGGTATATTTTGTGCTATTGTCTCGTCAAATGATAAATTTTTTTTGTTTAATCACCTTATGTAGGACAGCAATCACAGATTGTGAAGATAAGTTGGGAGAAATGAATGGCTTAATAGCCTCTCTTGAGTTATCGAAAAGTGAGGCTGCAGAGAACATGAGTAGGGCTGAAAAACTTGGTGTTGATATTTATGACATAGATCGTAGCCAGAAAGAATGTAAGCAGCTCTCCCGGGTGATTGAAAAACTTAAAAAAGATCATCATTTCAGTGCTACGTCTCGGAACTTGGATGAAGCACTTGCTGAACAAGAGGTAAACAGCAAGTTTGTTTTGCAATTAGCTCTGTGTATTATAATTTTATTGTACCTTCTTTGTATAACCTGTACAGGTAGTTCGAGTTGACCTTCTTGTTAAACGTAAAGACAAAAATGACAAGGAAGCAAGACTGAGGAGTTACGAAAAAAAAATCAATGATATCAACCAGACAATCAATTCCTTAACCGCTGAGCAGTTGAAAATAAAAGAATTCATCCAACAAGAAGATGCTCTTAAAGAACGTGTTGAGGATTTAAAAACTTTGAATAGTGCATTAGAAAACGAGAAGGAGGAATTGAATGTAAAATTGAAACCTGCGCAAGAGGAGCAATGCTGTGCAGAAAAAAAACTGGCTACAGTTAAACAACTTCAGAAAAAGAGTCTAGAAGACATGGAGAAAAAGGTAAATTCAATTAGACTTAGGATGCTGAGGCCCACGTGGTCCGTCCGAATGGTCATAATGACACATCGCGGCCACCTCCTCTGTGTCTTTTCATCTATAATTTGTACTTATTTGTTGTAGAAAGGAGATGTAGACCGAGAAATGGGAGTTATCACTGAGCTGCAAAAAACATTACTCAATTTTAAAAATCAGAAAATATCAGAAATGCTTATTGAATATAAGGAGAAGAATGAGAGTTTTGCTTCCAAATTAGATTCAATCAAAGAGGAGAGAGAAGCACTTAATCTTGAAAGTAAAAAGTTATCCAGTCTTATTGGTAACCATACTGTAAGTGTGTTCAATGGCTCTAAAATTCTTCTGCTTGTTTAGCTTTTGAGTTGTAATTGTTTACCCATGTTTTGAAAATACAGCGAGAGAGGAAGGAAATGGATGAAAATTTAAAGTTAATTGAAGTTGAGAAAATGATTGCGCAGCAGGAGGTACGACTGAAGGAGAAGACTGAGGAGCTGGGATCCTGGGATATTAAAACTATTGAAGATAAGTGTGTGGAGTTTCAAGGAAAACGTCAAGATCTTGTTTCAAAGGTAGATCATTCTCAGTTGATTTTCCTTTTAAAATATTTCATATTTTTGAACTAGTTTGTTAATTTCAGGTTAAAAAATTAGAGGGTACCCTAATAGGGAAAAATGAAAATATTGATTCTCGTAAAAAAGAGTTAAATCTTGACACTTTCAAAACAGTTGAACAAAAATATAAAGAGAAATTTATACAAGTAGCGGTATGTATGCACCTAATTTTTAGGGTTTATGGTGAATAATAGATAATGCCAAGCATCTATTCATTAGGTAGTTTGGGAAGTTTTGTTGTATGCTCAAGTTTATGATTTGCCTACCAAAATACAATTTTCAGGTCATGGAAAATGTTGAAAAAGATCTCCAGAAATACTACTCTGCACTTGACCATGCCCTTCAAAAATTTCACAAGGACCGTATGGACAAAGTTAATAAGAGCATTAGGGAGTATTGGCGACTGATATATAAAGGAAATGACATTGATTATATTGAAATCAAGACTGATGAATCAAGTAACAATTTGCATCCTTGTTTCTTTTTGTTCATTTCTTGAATGTGATTGTATGCAAGTATTAATGCACTAAATTTTGTTTAACAGCCCCTTCAGCTGCAACAAATTCCACAGATAAAAGAAAGGCCTACAATTACCGTGTTGTTCAAGTTAAAAGTGGGACTGAAATTGATATGAAAGGTCGATGCAGTGCAGGTCAAAAGGTGTGTTCTTCTCTTTTCAATTAACTTATTGAGTTTGTATGTTATGATTTGACAGGTTTAAAGTTTGCTTTGATTTCAGGTGCTTGCTTGCCTTATTATCAGGATGGCTCTCTCTGAAACTTTCAGCATGAACTGTGGTATTCTCACTCTTGATGAACCAACCACAAATTTGGACAGACAGAATATTCAAAGTCTGTGCCAAGCTATTACTGAGTATGTATCTTTTAACTATTGGCAACAACACAAACAACACAATTAGATGTATTTCATGAATTCTATTTCTTGCTATTGTAGAATTGTGAATGATCACGAAGGTAGTAAAAACTTCCAACTGATTGTCATCACTCATGACCATGAGTTCTTAAATGCCATGGCCACTGTAGACTCCTTCCCGCATTACTGGGAAGTATCTCGAAACAATCAGTACGTACAATTTTACTACTGTATTTCATTTGCACTTACTGGCTGTTCAAATAATAATCCGAATCCATTGTGTTTTATTTACAGGTGCAAGTCTCAAATAAGGTTGAAGCATGTCACAAGAGTATAGTAGATTTTATGTATTTTTAACCTCTCTTAATGTATTGAATCTTTAAATCAAAAATGTCAGTATTCCGTCAAAGTTAATTATATGTGTTTTTAATATCTTCAACTTATTTTTTAAATTCACCTCCCCCTATTACTTGTGAGCTTTTTGTTTTCCCTGAACATCAGAGCAAGCATCATAACTTTCATCACGCAATGCTGGTTCACAGTATTGTAGGCCGTGCACACCTTCACTTCTGTACTCCTGCAGGAAAGGTAGCTCCAGCAAAGATTCTTTGAAACTTTGCAGGAGGTAAACCCATGCTATAACATCTGATGTATTGTTGCTGAGTTTGAACAGCCTTTCCTCCCTGACATAGAATGCAGGATACTCTTCAAGCACATCAAGATTTTTGAGCATTTTGTCATCCACTTCATATATTTCTCCTGTAACAAACTGCGAAACAAAGTTATTCTGAATAGTCTCTAGAATTTACTCCAAAAGAATATGATACTCACTTCCCCCGTGCCTGTCTTGTCAAGAAGAAATGGTATGTTGTATCTTGAAGCAATAACTAGAGGATATTTTTCGGTTGATGTTGCGCTGCCAACAAATCTAGCAAATCCATTCCTCTTGTTGGTCAGCCAGTGCTGGTTAGGCTCACCCTGCTTAAGTGTTCCATACACAAATACATTTTGTACAGCCATACTGTGTCATGTGATATTCATCAGTCAGACAGCTTGCTTGTAAACAGGAAAAAAGTAGCTGTCAAAAAACAACTGCTCTTTTCAAAGAGAGAACGTCCCAGTTGCTCTGGGCGGCGCCTCTTCCCTAAAGGCAGACAAGCAGTGCTTCTGCTCTTTTCAGACAATATTTTTATTATTGTGACACTAAATCACCAGTTGCTGCTCTCAACGAAAGTAGTACAAACCAACTTGAACAAACTTGGTGCCTTCCTCCTCTGATGATGCAAACAGCAGCCCAGCTAGTTTAGTTTAGTTTAATCTAGCGTCCATGGCCTGCCGAACGGCATAGCGGCCAGTGTAGTATCCCTGCACGGCGGAGCCGGGCAGGGAGAGGCCGGAAGTACGGAGCGTGGCGGGTAGTGTTTGTATAAGGTTGTGAGAGTACTTAGAGTCGGAGCGTGGGATTAAACTTAAGCAGTTGAGCTATGGCTGGGGCTGACTTAAGGGGCGTGCGTAGGATGGAGTCGTAGTCGTGCGGTACGTCGGCAGCGGCAAGAGCAGCGTGGAATTGCAGGCGGTTGATGAAGGGGCAGTCCTCGATGAGGTGACGTGCTGTGCCGTTCGGCTCGTCGCAAGTGCAGGCCGCGGAGGGGCGCCCCGCGACGCGGTTAAGGTGCTGCGGCGAGGCCGTGTGGCCGAGGCGAAGGCGGATGGTGGTGGAGAGGAGGGGGCGAGAGAGTTGCGCCTTGGCGAACCAGGGCCGGCGAGGGAAGACGGGCATAAGGTTGCGCAGGTGTCGTCCTTTGAGGGCAGGCGCCGCCCAGGCGGCCTGGACCTCGACGCGGTTGGTGGCCAATCGGTCTTGGTAGCGCACACTGAGGGGTAGCGGGGGGTGAACGGGCTCCCCGTGCTGGTGCGCGAGGGTGGCCGCGGCGTCTGCTTGCTCGTTGGGGAAGATACCTTTGTGCGCCGGCACCCAGGCCAGGGTGGGGTGGGAGTCTCTTCCGTGGTGGTCGACGATGAGCTGCCGAATGGCAACTACCGTGCGGGGGGTGTCCGCCGTGGGGCGGGAGGCCCCAAGGGCCGTGATGACGGAGAGGCTGTCGGTGACAATGAGAGGGGATGCGATGCCGCGATCCAGGGACCACTGGAGCGCCCTTTCAATGGCATAGGCCTCAGCGAGGTAGACCGTCGCTAGGGGCGGGAGGCGGAACATGAGCACGCCGGCCGTAGTGGCGTCGTAGACTGCTGCGGAGACTCGCACTGGGTCGTCCTGCCTGGAGCCGTCAGTGGCCAGTACGTGGCGGTCCTTCCAGTGGTGGAGACGAAGGGCGTCGTATATGGCAGCCGGGTCGTCCCCCAGGGAGACGACCGGGGCGGGGGGGTAGTAGCTCGTTACAGGCATGGGGGTGGTCCATACGGCGTGCGGCACCCCGTAGCAGGGCCACCGGGGCGGGGCGTCAATGCCCGTCAGGGTGTCGGCGAGCGCGACGTACCGCTTCAGCAGAAGAGACGGTTTGGCCCGCAGGCTCGCGGGGAGCACGCCCCGCGGGGCCAGGTCTTGCAGGCCAGCGAGTGCGGGGTGGTCGGCCTGCCCACTCCAGCGGAGCAGCATCCTGTCGGCGAGATAGGCAAAGCGACGGCGCAGCGGCCACTCCGCGGCCTCGGCGTATAGTGCGCAGAGGGGCGAAGACGGCATGGCGCCGAGGCAGATGCGGAGAGCGCGGTTGCATAGCTTGATGATCGGGTCCCAGGCGGTGTCCGTGCGGGGGTCGAAAATCCCGGCCGCATATTCTAGAATGGCCCGTATGGTGGTCCTGTAGAGGAGGAGGAGGGCGTAGGGGTGTGCACCCCAGGAGACCCCCGCCATGCATTGCAGAAAGTTGAGTCGGCGGCGGCACTTGGCCATGATGTAGCGGACGTGGGGGCCCCACATAAACTTGGAGTCCAGGAGAACGCCGAGGTACTTGGCCTGCGTGGCCACCACGATGGGGACGCCATTGAGTTGTATCGCGGGGAGGCGCTGAGGCCTCGTGCTTCTGGTGAAAACCATCACCTGCGACTTGGCCGACGAGAGGGTGGCGCCATCCCGGCACAGCCGTCGGGAAAGTTCGAGGACCCCAGGGGCCAGGCGGGCCATCGCAGCCGCCGGCGTGGCAGCCACGGCGAGCAGCAAGATATCGTCGGCGAATTCTATAGCCACGACCCCGTCGGCCAGTGCCTCGCACAGCCGGCGCTTGTCGAGGATATAGAGGAGCGGTGAGAGGACCCAGCCCTGAGGTAGGCCCAGACTAGTGAGGCGGAAGGAAGTGATGAGACCGTTGTACGATGCGTAGGTGTGGCGGTCGTGCAGTACGGCGCTCAACATGTTGAGGACGCGAGGCGGGGCTCCAGCCTCGTGTAGCCGCCGCAGTAGAGTCCTGGGGCGGACCGTGTCATAGGCGCCGGTGACGTCAGCAACTAGCGCAGCGACACTGTGGCCGCGGGCGAAGGCTCTGTACACCGTCGTAGCAAGCGAGCCGAGGCAGTCCGTGGTGGACCGGCCCCTGCGAAAGCCGTGTTGGGTGGAAGCAAGGAGACCTGACGACTCCGCCCACCATTCCAGCCGAGCCTTCAGAAGGCGTTCGAACACCTTGAAAATCACCGAGGCAAGGGCGAGCGGACGGTAAGAGGAGGCTTGTGTCGGGTCCTTCCCCGGCTTCAGGAAGGGCAGTAGAAGTATGTCCTTCCAGTCGTCCGGTGGAGTAGCGCTAGCCCAGGCGTCGTTGAGGAGGGCGAGAAGGTGCTGAAGGGCCTCGGGGGGCAAGTTCTGCAGCATGGAGGCGGTGACGCCGTCCATCCCGGGTGCGGTGTCCTTGGCCGCCGCGATGGCCGCAAGCAGGTCGCCCATGGTGAAGGGGGCGGCGAGGCCGTGCGGGTCCGGGGGAGGGGGTTGAACCTCCGGGTAAGTCGGGGGTGGTCCCGGAGAGACCGTGTCCGGCGTGAGGAGGGCGTGAAAGTCTGGGAGCCAGGTCGCTGGAGCCGGCCGGGACGGGGTCCTGGTGGCATTGTTGCGGGCCATGGCCCAGAGGCGGGTCATGTGATCCCTCGGAGTGAGTCCTTCGAGGAAGGATCGCCACCCTTCCTGGCGGGCACTGGCGATGGTAGCCGCAGCGTCGTGGCGGGCGTCAAGAAGGGCGAAGTGCGAGTCCGGCGTGCGCAGACGGCGAAAGGTGGTGAGAGCCGCTCGGCGGTGGTTAACGGCCGCCGTGCAGGCCGCGGTCCACCAGGGGTGGGAGTTGTACCGCCCCGGAGGCCGGACCTGCTGGCGAGGCCGGAAGGCCTGAGACGCCGCGTCGTGCAGCAGAGCGACGAAGGCGGGATAAGAGGCTGGGGTGATGGGGGCTGCGAACAGCGGGGCCCCAGCAGTGAGCACGTGGTCCGTATATGCCGGCCAGGTCCCATCCTTGGGGATGCACCAACGGCGAGTGGAGTAGAAACGGCGCTCGTAGGGAGCTTGGTCTTCGAGGTCGCGATCCTCACGGATGCGCAGCAGACAGGGCAGGTGATCGCTGCCCAAGGTGTCCGGGTGGGTGTCCCACTCAGATTGGAGAGCAAGGGTGCGCGGGACCAGTGCCAGGTCGAGAGCCGAATCTTGCTGCCCGATGTGACCGATGCGGGTCGGAGAGCCGTCGTTCAGGATGACATGGGAGCTGTCCGCTATCCAGTCCGCCAGGGCCGTCCCGCGAGGGTCGGCGAGGGCACCCCCCCACAGGGGGTGGTGGGCGTTGAAGTCGCCCAAGTAGACGGTGTCGTCGGGCAGGAGCGCGGCCAGGTCGGCCCACGCCCCGTCGGGGACCCGCGCATCAGGGGCGGCGTAGACGGAGACGATGGTGAGGGGGCGGGGGTGGAAGGGGATCTCAATGCCCACTGCATCAAGGCCGAGGGCGGGCGGCAGGCGGGCATGCAGGCCGATGTCTTGGAAGAGTGTGGCGTTACTGGCCAGGATTGCCACCCGCGGCCGTTCCGGCTGGGGGGGCTGGACGACTTCGTAGATCCCCAGGCGGTGAACGGACTGGGGGAGGCGGGATTCCTGTAGTGCTGCGACCTGGATCCCCTTCTCGGTCAGGAGGTCGAGCAGCGGGGGCCGTTTGCTGTGGGTGAGCGTCGCTGCGTTGAAGGACGCGAGAAGCAACAGAAGGCGCGGGGCCGAGCACCTTGAGCGACATGAGGTGGTCGCGCAGGCTGTCCGGAGAGATGTCACAAAGGTCCTTGCCTTGGGCCGCCCGAAGGAACTCCGATAAGACCCGGGCCAATAGGTCGAGGGCGTGGGCCAAATCGTCGGGGGCGGCGGTGGTGGCAGGGGGCGCTGGCGGCTGGGGGCGCGAGGCACAAGAGCAGGTGCAGCTGCAGCCCGACGGGGCACGAGGGGTGCGCGGCCGGGTACGCTCCGCATATGTGGGGCGGTCGGTGGGGGATGATGGCCCCGGAGACGGGGTGAGCAAGGGGAATTCCCCATCCTCCCTTGGGGGGGGAGGGGAGCGGTAGGCCCGGGCAGCTTCAGCGAAGGAGATATTCTCAGTCGCCATCGTCTTCTTGATGTTACGCAGATCAACCACGTAGTCGCAGTTCTGGGATTGGTCCGCGCGGTGAGCCTTGTTACAATGTGGGCACGTAGGGATAGCGGCGGTGCAGGTGTCGTAGTCGTGGGCCTGATCGGAGAGGCAGCGAGGGCACCGGGCCTTGCTGCGGCACACCGTGGCCGAGTGCTTGAAACGCCAACACTTCTTGCATTGCTGGACAGGGAGAACGTAAGGACGAACCTCCAGAACCCGGTGCTCCAAGAAGGCACGGGTGGGCAGGGAAGTGCCAGCGAACGTGACGCGCCAGGAGCCCGAGTAGACCAGCTGAGTCCCGTCAGGGGACTGAACACGGCGGGGCAGCGGGCGAACAGCGATGATCTCGCGGTCTTGGGCTTTGAGGGCGAGTTGTAAGGAGGCCGCGGTGTATGAGGCGCCGACGTTGCGCACCACCCCTTGGCAGGTACGCAGGTGGAAAGGGAGATAGCTAGTGCTCCAGGGCATGACCAAGGAGATATCGGTGATGGCTGTATTAGCCGCAGCTGGTGTAGCATATTCCACCCGTACACGGGTGGGGCCGATGAGCTTGAACGTGGAGTATCGGGGGAGTACAGAGTTCCCAATGAGGCGGGCAAACTCCTCCGCCTTGAAGGGCTTGCCGTCCTCGACAGGATAGTCCACATAGACGAGACAGGGGCCAGGGCCATATACGTCATAACGGGCGGTGAGGTCCGTTGTTGACAGCGGTTCGAGTTCGTCCGGGGGGATGACACGGTGGGCGGGGTTGTCCCGTTGGGCCCTTTTTGCCGGGCTGGACTCACCACCTGATGAAAGAGGTCGTCGTTTGGTGCCCTTCGGTTGGTCGGGGAGCCCCAAGTCCATGAGGCAGTCTTCGTAGTCGGCGAGGGGCGCAGCAGTCTTCCCTGGGTTTGCTGGGAGGCCTGCAGTCGAGGATACGGCGGGGCCACTTGCAGGGACCAGTCCCGGCATCGAAGGTCCGTCACTCTCCCCAGCCATGCTACAGTTAAGTTGAAGACAATGTTAACTGTGGATAGTGAAGTTAAGTGAACGTGGTGTGGGCTGTCAGAACAACACGTGTGGAGTGAGGTTAGTGTCGTCTGCTAGAGCGTACGACCGGTGCGACTGCACGGTGCGAAGACTGAACCGGAAGTCCGCAGCCCAGCTAACAGCTGATCAAGCCGGGTGAGTATGAAAAACTGTACAACCACATCACATCTGTCAAAAATTTTAAGACGTCGGCTAGTCCGAGTGTTGTTGTCAACGAAACCGTGTCATTATCGTATTTTCTGCAGGAATATTTGCGATCTAATGAAGCTAGAAAATATGTGTCCACACAGACGGAATATTCTTAGGCGATCTCAAGATCGTAGAAAACCTGGTAAATATCCTGTGAATTCGAATGTAGTCCACAGTATACTTTCTCTTTTTGTGGGGATGTAGTAACACTTTTTGATCTGCCAGTCACGGGCTATCACTCTTCTGCCTTAACCGAAGTCACTGAAATGAGTATGTAATAAAACTGACATTTTTTTCAGGCTCTGCAATCACTCAATTGTTAACATAATTGTCCAGTTTAGTTAGAGATATACTCAAACATAACCTTTTAAAACCAGATGCTGTATCTGCGGATACATAATTAAGGAACCATGAAAGGACCTGCAGCAAAGCAACAGAATAGATGCATTTGAGTTATTAGAAATGATAAGCATTGGGTTTTCATTAAGTATTTTTTGAAAAGAGAATATGGGCTTGTGTTGTCATTCAATTTATAAACGTTGGTCAGTATTTGCAACAGTGCTGACTTACATAAGTTTTGTAATGTTTGTATGGACTAGAGTATTGCCCCTTCGGCCTTACAAACGCTTGAACAATCAACAAAGAAAAGACTTAAATGCAGTCATTAAAGATCTCCCTGATCATCTTGATGGAGTTAGAATTGAAAGAGATGGAGAGATTAACAAGAATTTTAGAAAAGAGGTGATTCTTGGAGAAGGTGAATTTGAACAACGTAAAGAAGAAGACCCCAAAGAATTATTGGAAGATATATTTGTTAGGTAATGGGAAATTCAAAATAGTTCCTTGTTTATGATGTTTTCCCTTTTTTTTTTTTTCATTTGCACTTTTCTTTTTTGTTTTAGGGCCGATACCAACAATGATAGTTTTCTAGTCCATTCTGAGCTTTCACGGTGGATTGAGGCAAAAATTAAACAGCACATTGCCCAGGCTCATGCTGAGAATTATATTCTTTTTGCAAGTGTGGATATAAACCCAAGGAATGGTCAGGATAGTACAAGTGGAAAGAATGAAGACCATGTTTGTTTTACTTCAACCGGGTCAGTCATATTTAATCTAGTAATCAAATTTACATTTACAGGTCTAGTGTCTTGGGAAGAGTACCATCAGTATTTTCTTAGACAAAAGGGATATAGCAAAACCTATGTTGAAAATCATGACAAACGACATTCTGGGTTAGATAGGAAAACCAAAGGTACTTGCTTCATCTAAGCGTTCTCCATTGCCTGAGATCACCTTTAGAATATGTCATTTGTCCCTTTTGCCTCACAGAGACCATTATGAGAGATAAAGCAGCTTGGTCAGAAGCATCACATTTAAATCCCAATCATCTCACTGTGGATGAGTTTTTAGCTTTTCGACATCCTGAATCTAGTCATGCAACTATTTTAACATTAGTTGAAGAACTTTTTGATAAATTTGGTGAGTGAGCAGTACTGAAAGTATACCTTCATTAAAGTTTTCATTTCTGTTCTTCTGATCTAACCATTGTTTTACAGATCAAAATGGTGATCAAATTTTGACTGAAGATGAATTTTCTCATCTTCTATTAGAAGGTGATGCTGAGAAAAGTGGCGAAACCATTAATCAAGGAGAAGCAGAACGTCGTGCTGAATTCAGAGCTGAAATTGATAAAAATAAAGATGGGAAAGCTGATCGCCATGAACTTCTGGTATGCACATTAAATTTTATTCTGTAATTAACAAATATTGTCTTTTTGGTTATTTTTTTTTTCTTTTAGATGTACATTGATCCTATTAATCCCAGACATGCTAGAGAGGAAGCAGAGACCTTGATTGCTCTTGCTGATGTTAATCATGATGGAGCCTTATCATTGCTGGAAGTCATCAATAAAATGGACTTGTTTTTGGGTAGTAAGATGGTTGATACTGCCAAAAGTTTTCATGATGAGTTTTAAGAAGTGTCATTCTTTATGATCTTACTAGTGAAATAATAAACTGTAAGACAATACTACAATACTATATGTAAAGGTAACTGTTTTTTGAAAAAACACATTATTGATCATTATATGTGTGTGTAATTTTATAATTGGCCTGTAAAGCATGTATGGAATAAAAGTTGACTAGAAAGGTGAAATAATAGGGAGATATTGGTTCGTAAAATATCTTTTTTTAGTACAAACCAGCAAACTACTTTGCTTTTAGCATATGGAAATAAATATTATTTAGTCTTAAATTACAGTTGAAATTTAGTCAACATCTTCTGGACGCACAGGGTGGATTAATGGAATCACAGACTGTTTATTCACATCTCGTGAACATGCCTTCCTCATATCTGCAAATGGAGGAAATGCGCAAATTTGTAGAACTTTGATGTGCTTATCAATAGACATCAACATTTGATGTGACGAAATAAGTGAAACCTTACCGTAAGCATCCTCGTCAGGGTCTCCTGAATAGTATTCTAAAACTGTGCGATAAATAATGTAACCCAATTGCTTGTACATTTGAATTGCGACTTTGTTAGAAACTCGCACAAAGAGGTCCACAAAATAAGCTTGTTTCCTGGGTTAAACATACAAATTTATGAGACAGAAAAGTCAGAAAAAAGACTTAGAAGAGTCAAAAGAATAATTTTACTTTTCAGAGGCTTCTTCAAGCCAAGACATTAGGGTTGCAGCCATCCCAAGGCGGCGATAATCAGGCGATACTGTGAGTGCAGTAACATGACCATGCCAGTTTTCGCCTAGACCTTCTGCTTTGCCCATTACTGAAAAGAAATAGCCCAGTTAGGTGTGGAAGAATAATGTGTCCTTAATTTTTCAAATAAAGATACCTTAGATTACAGGGCATTGCAAAATCTTTGACAAACTTTCAAACCTATTAAATACTTTTTTAGGTGAATGTACAACTAAAAAGTAAACAGTACTCACTATATCCCATTATTTCTCCACTTGGTGATTCTGCTACCTGAAAATGTTCAGGCCAGTGGGCCAGGTACTGCATGTAGAATGCAAGGCCAAACTGTGAACGTTAAGTAAAAATACTAGACTATTAGAATAAGTTATTACACAAGATAGTAAACAAATCCCTTTTCTTTCCTTTTTTTATTTTAGAAAGTTGAGATTAAATGCTGGAAGCAGCCAGAAGACACTATTTGCTCAAAGGATACAGTTTCAGTCAATGGATCCAAGTTCCTGCGAAACAATGCAAAGTTATAAACACAAAACAATGATGTACATTTAACTCTTCTCAAGTTTAACTGATGACCAATTTACGCACACGTTATTGAACTTCAATAGATCCATGCAGGTGAATGGACGAAGAGTAGTCATCCTGATTGAGTGTGAAAACACCTTTCCAACAAAAGGCAAAGTTGTTTTGATGGAGAATAACCTACAAGTTGTATGGTTATTCAAGACCCTAAATATATGTTGATCAGAAAACCGACGAGCACGAAGAACCTTGACGTATACGATCAATTACTTCTTTGACTGAGATTAATTCAGGAGCAAAGATGTAAATAGTAAATGAAAACATATATTCAACCTAGCTACAGAAATAACAGCCAGCAGCAGCGCACCGACGACGACCGGCCTGGCCTGTGGGCCGTCGGATGCGAGTGCGAGTCAGTCGTTACGAATAAAATAGGAGTTGACATATTGCCATTTTACAGAGTGATGAAATTGAAAGCGAAAATCCTTCCATTGAGTGCCCAGGTATAAAAAATAAAAATATGTCTCAGTGAAGATTTTTCATTATTTTGGGGTTGGTCCAACTGAGCCACCGAAATCTCCCCCCTCCTCCCACGTCCAGGGAGGGGTTTACTTAGTGGCCCTCCACTAGGTTTACTTGCCTCTGAATCAAACCCATCAAACCAGCCCAAAAAGCCTGACCAAGCCAGACTCACGGATTTATTCGAGTAGCTCAAGGCTAGCTTGTTAGTTACAGTGTGTGAAGCCGTTGAGGCTGTGTTCAGAGATAATTAGTACAATAATTGAACGCCGTCGAAATATTTATTGGAAATAAAAGAAAAAACAATAAATTAGGTATAGGTGCTGAGAATATTGGATGTCTTAGATTGCAGGTGCACTGAAGTATCCTGATTGAAATGACAATGGAAACACACATGAATCAAATGTTTCTTGTTCTTTTATAAAAACAAATAAAAAACGAAATAAGAAAATGGGGACCAATCTCAATACTGCAAACTTCTTTTAGTTTGGATGTCATCTAATATCTGTCGTAATTCTTCATCTTCAAAGCGCCCTTCCAAACTGTAATTTTAATAAAAGCCCTGTATACTAAACAATATTATGAGAATAAGTCAACAACAAAAAAATAATTGGCAGACCTCCACTCACCTTGGTACTAGGGATTTAGCTTCTTCTGGCGTTTCAGGACAGAGATTTGCTAATGAAGCCAATTCAAATTTATGTAATTTTTTTTGCATTAGAAGACTGCAAATATAATAAAAGGCAATAGATAAATACTACAACAGCAATTTCTAACAAAGAGTAAACTTCAAAATGTAGAAAAGTCCTCATACTTCCGAACTGAGGATATTGTCTCCTTGTTTTTGAATTTTCTGAAGCGTTCTGTGTAAGTTAATGTTTTGTGAAACACTTCTGAAAACTCTTGCTCCTCCTCTGCGCTTTCATTTTGGGCTTGACGATGTTCCAACAACATATGGACTTCTGATATGAGAAGGGTTTCAGCATTTTCAAACTCTGAAAAAATATAAAAAAAAGATATCCATTTTCATCATACATAAAAAAAATTATGCCTTTACGCACGCAACAGCACTGTGACAGTAATAGGAAGTTTTCTCTAATGCTGCCTTTCTTTTTTCAGCAATTGTAATCAACATTTAAGTTTTTCATAAGCTTATTTGTTATTGATAATACACAGTACTAGAAAAACATAGTCTAGAGTAAATTTAGACAAAAATCACCTTGCATCAATTTACCTTTAGTTAAAATCCTCAATGCAATGCACATAAATGTAAGGATTCAAGTTTACTACTGACAAAGAAAATGTTATCTATCAACATTAATGACATTCAAGATTTTAACTTAAGTACAATGAAGACCAAACATCACATTTTAAGGAAAGATAATTTATTGTTTTAGTTTTCAAAAGTTATAAATATAGATACAAAAGCTATGTTCCCTGAGTAAAATAACCTTCATTCAACAAAAAGTCATAGAGCTTTCTCGTCTTGTTTACATCAATTTTAATAAGAACTCTTGCTTGAGCAAGTTTCAGAGAACTGCCAGGGTTTCTACGACTTTCAGTGACAAGAATGTCTCTGAAGTCAAGGAATGAAAGCGGGGCAAGTCTAAGATTGGAGCATAATTCTCGTTCTGAGGGCGTAAGCTTTTCATAACCAGGGAGTGTCATTATATCCAGTGGAGGTGGTTTTTTTCTTGGAGCAGATGTTTGAATTGGTACTGCTGGAGCATTTGCTCCTGACCATGGCAGGAAAGTGCCACTCAAAATAGGGCCATCTTTTTTGACCTGATTGCGTAGATCGGATAATTGAGCATACAATTTATTAGCCCTATGACTTGTAATGCCTTTGTCACGCAGTTCTTTCAACTGTTTTATTTTAGCTCGAGTTTCACCCATAGCATGGAGACTTTCCATTAAGAAATCAAACTTCTTCCCATTTAAGACACGCATTAGACCAGTCAACTTTTCAGCTATTTCTCTACCAATGGTTCCCTAAAGAGAAACAAAACAAATAAATAATTATCAATTTATTTCGTTTAATTAAAAGCATATAAAAAAAGAATTCCAGAGTAAAGTATCTAGTCATAGAAAAAACCTCACCTCAAATCTTTGGAGCCATCCAATTGTTTTCTGCAAAAGCAGCAGTCCATGATGCCTAATGATCTGCTTTCTCCGCTTCCTTTCTCTAAGCCGCCCATTATAAGCTTCAACTATTGCTACTTGCATATCGGTCAGAACTTCATAATCATTGTCCTCTGGATCAGCTATCTCAGAGTCTAATTCAGCAACCATTAGCTCAGCACTGTCATCGAATTCAACAGAAAACTCTCCACGAGCTGCATTGTAACCAGGAATAAACTGCGTAGCGCGACATTCAAAGAGAGGGCGGGAAAGATCTGCTCTTTGATACAGCTGCTGTTGCTGTTTAAGATAGGGATTTAGTTTTAATTTTAGCGAATAACTATTCTTTGATAGCTGGGCATGGTCATCTGGCCCTTCAAAGTCAGAAATCTTTTTAGAATTGGAAACATATCTACTGAATGGTGTCATAACAGTTTGCTGAGCTGTTTCAACTCTGTGTGAGGAAAAGGTTTCTCCCACTTGAAGCTGAAGGTCAGAGTTTTCTGAATAAAACCAGAAGTAATGCTTCATACATTCCTCTTCACATCTTGAAGAAACTTTCTTGGCGATATCAGTCCAATTGTCAGCTCCAAATTCAATCATTGCCTCGAGTAGCGCTAATTCTTCTTTAGCAGTCCAGTTGCCCAATAAAGGAAACTCATTGCGAATCACAGAATATTTATGATAGTTATAATGATTATTGCGCTCTCCACCACTGGCAAAGCACTTAGTACAAATCAAAGTGTTTTTGCAGTCAACACAAGTTATGTATGGCTCACGGAGCCACATCCCACAAATATAACATGTATCAGAGAACCGTTCTTCAAAATCTGTCTCAGAAGTCATGGTACAGTCTGCAATCAGCCAACATATTCTACTCTAGATTTACAACTCACAGGACATTTTCTTAATACAATTCGGCAAATAACAAAGTAATCTATGTCATTGATATTACATTTAAAACAAAATATACCAATGCGTTTGGTCAAACAGTCAGAGTTAGGTTATAAACGAAAAACCGGTAGGACAAATCCAGCATGTACAAATTCGTACCTTTCGGAAATTGTAGATCAGCAGCATCCTCGTCAACCAAGTCAATATTTTGAGCGGCCATTTCACCAAAAGAAGAGGTGGCAGGCACAAAATAAGAACTCTCAACTTGTGACTTGTGGGTTGTGTTTGTTTGACGCTTGACGCTGCGGTTAAGCGCAGTCTAGTCGGTAGTCGTAGTCGACACTGCGTCCATATATTTACTATTCGCAGTCAGGTTTGTTGCTGGCGCTGCTGGCGCGCTGGCGGCTCATTCGTCCAAGCGGGCTGGCGGGCTGGCCAACCAGCTCAAGCAACCAGTCCTGAGTTATATCCTTCTTCAAACTTCAAAAAGGGTTATTACGACGGCTTGTCACGCCGGCGCGTGGCGGGCGAGGGGTAGGGTGCGGGCGGGGAGGCAGTGGCGGAAGAACTGCCTACCTACCCTACCCCGCTTCGCCGCCCGCGCTTCCCTCTCGCCCTCCGCGTGGAGGGAAACGACAAAATTCTTAACTGGATGTAACATTGCCCATGTTAGCAGGTACATTACCCGTGTTAAATTTTCTAGACACCTTGTGGTAGGTTATCTTACGTTGGGGTGGCGCGCCCCAGTCGGCGTTTTCAACCATTCCAACTGAGAAACTTGAGAGACTTGAGACTGCTTGAGAGAGGGTGGACATATTTCCCATTACACCCTTTCGTAAAACAGAACGAAAAATCCCGCGCAGTTGGGCAGCTGGGGTTTGTTGTCGTTCCACCCGTCCCTCTGACTTCAAACTTTCATATCAACAGCAGACAATTGGCACATGTAAGTAGGCAACCGACAGAACATCACCCATTTGCCAGCAATTACGGCGCGGTAGAGACGCCGTTTGGGCGGCCCGACTGACCCAGCCTCACGCTACGGATTATTTGTGCTGTTAAATTGCCATTTCTCTGAGAGGTGGGCTAGACGGACCCGTGCGGGTCCAGTGGTCCAGCGGCGGGAGGTGTAAGGTCTGACGGGCCCGCCTGGACCAGCATGGGTCAGTTGGGTCGAGCAACAGAACAGTAGACCCATCCGACCCAAGCCTGGAGCCAACAAAATTGTAGGTGAGGGGCAGGGAGACGCGGGGTGAGGGGAAGCCCGTGAACTGCTGGGCCGGGCTGGCCGAGGCAGGTCCAGCAGACCCGCAGCCCGGGTCGGGTGGGTCCAGCTGGCCCGAGCGGGTCTGACTGACCCGACTGACTAGCCCACACGGGTCGACGTAGTGTTACTGAATATAGACAAGACTGGGTCAGGTCGGGTTGTCCCGAGCTAACGACTGCCTTGGGCCACGTAAACCCAAAATCATGGCCCAAACGGCGACTCTACGGCGCGGTATAGGCCTACTGTATTTCGGCTACTGTATTTGAGCGCCTCTATGACGGACGTGTACGCAGTACTCAAGTGACAACCCCCTCGTCTACACTGCTTCGTTGCAGCCATCAAAATTGTGATACCCACGGTCAAATTCCGTTCTATCCGCCCGGTTTAGTGATATGGGCATCAAAAATTTAGCTGCTGTAACCGAAATTTTGGTTGCTGTAACCAAAAAAGTCTAGTTGCTGTGACTAAAAATTTGACCGATCCGACTGATCGAGCAATTTTTGATGGCTGCAACGAAACATTTCTCTCAGCTGTAGCACCGTTTGATTTCCCGAGCCTATAAAATACATTATCTTCAAAGTCCTACAATGAGTTTTAGTGCAAGAATATCATATTTGTTGCGATTGTGCAAAGGAATTGGAAATATTTAAAAAATCAGCACTCGGTGACTTTATTGTCGTCTGAAATGCTGAAAGACACACGGAAATGAGATTAGAGAAAGCGGAGAGAGTTCCAATTAAAAGTAAGAGTGAGAAAGAAGAGCAGACTGCGGTCTCAGTGAATTGTGAGGACGTTGATCAGCACTCCAAGAACCAGAGTGAGGGCAGCCCCGCGTGACAGTGTGGGTGCGGAAGAGGGGGTCGGCGCAACGAAGGGAATGACATTCTTGTCGGCGAGTTCCGTGAAGAATTTCAACGAATGCGGCTTAAGCGAGCGATTCAACGTTCCGTTCTCGTAGTCCACATGTACTAGACCGAAGGGCCGACTAAAACAGAACGACATAGACACATGAGCAAGCTGTGTTGCACTATCTTCCTGTCAGAAAACAGGAGCGTTGTTCGACCAACCTGTACCCGCCGCTCCATTCGAAAGAATCGATGAGACTCCAAGTACAGTACGCGATCACTTTCACTCCGTAGTCGTGCACCGCCCCGATCAGCGACCGCATGTATGACTGCAGCAGGGAACAGTGTGAATCATTCCGCACTCCTGACGGTATACGGGGTGGTCCACAGACCCCCTTCCTTTAATTTGCTTATAGTGTACCGCATGCAGGCGTGCCGGTCGGGCTTGCCTACCGTCACTCACCGCGGAGCCTTATGGCCCCGTGCGAGTATGCAACCGGCACGAACGCCTGCATCCGGTACAGTATAAGCAAAATAAAGGAAGGGGGTCTGTGGACCACCCTGTAGATCTCCTTCTCGACTGACGCGGACTGACACGTACACTCAGGTAAACGGCCCGCTTCCGGTCATCCGTCCCACTGTAGCCGTTCTCTGTGATGGCGATTGGAACACCATACTGCTGCCACGTCCACAGCACTGACCGCTCCATTACCTCCGGCGTGATCTGAGAAAGAAACGAAACGCTTGCTACGAGTTCAGGCAAGGGAGGGTGGGGCTTCTTGAGCCGGACCACGCCCAAGTGGTGACTTGGTGGCGAAAAGCGAAAACATCTCAGCCCGACATGTCTGGGTCGTTTACCGTACCGTTCTAAAGAATGACTGGAAACGGGCGCCTAGCTTCCTAACAATTAAATATTTATGTTCTGGTCAGCGGTGCCATGTGATAGAGAAACATGGCACATGGCACCCCCTGGCTCAAGTAGCCCCACCCTCCAGGGGATGTCACTGTAGTGCCCTCTTGATGTGTGCGTAATGCGCGTAGAAAATGCATTTTTTTGCGCAGTGATGTGCAAAAAATGCGCTTAAAATGCGTAACAAATGCAGGCCTTTTAGTCTAAGGTATCGAAATGCAGGCCTTGCCACCTGGAAGCGCGAAGCGAACTTCTTCATCTCCGTCGAAGCTACCACAATAAGCAATTCACTCTTTAATGATCTATGTATTGCATTAGCCCGATCGCGTGACCAAGGTAGGATTAACGAGCACCCCCAGCCCCCAACGCTTAGTGGTGCCCGAATTCGCGCCCATGGAGCCCTTAACTCGTCCGATCATCGACACAGTCGCAAGAGAATCAGCATTGGTTGTCACCTCACCTTGTCAAAAAGCACCAGGTCAGCAGGATTGCCCACGTCGAGAAACGGCAGTTTTTCCAGTAGTTGGCTGTAAATGGGCACCTGAGGTCGGTTTGCGCCCGCATTGGGGTCGTAACTAGCAATGATTCCATTGTAAATATTGAGTCCCAGAAAGTCAGTCGAGTCTGAGACGAGAAAACGTTACATACGTGACACGACCAAACCCAATCCAGGTTGAGATGGCTCGAAATGCCAAATACCTTTTAGATCCTTTTTCTCTTCATCTGTAAAAGCTGGCAGGTCCGGTAGGAGCCTCTTTATGCTCTCAGGGTAGTCGCCAAACACGACAGGGTGCAATATTTTGCCGCAGTGCATCTGGTTGAAGGCGTCGGCCGCATACACATCCTGCACGGACGTCGTTTTAGGCTGGGCATGCACCAGCAGCGCGGTGTAACCGACCTGACCTGCGAATAAACACATAGCAAAGCAGAGTGTCTAGATCAGACCGCTTCAGACTGCTATCTGCCTCGGTTGCCGGGTATTTTCATTGAAGGCGGAGGCGCCCGGCGGGTAGGCAGCGGCGTGACGCCACAGCGCGGCGGGACTGCCTATC